TAATTGATATTACTGCAATGCAAACAATACCGCCTAAAGATTTTTATACGTAGAGAAATACTTACAATTGTATATGCACAAATGCATACATGGCCGCTTCCAGCCTAAAAGGTTTTTTATCCATAGAAGAATAGCAGGTTCTACGTTGTTTGCTTGAAGACTACCTAGAATGGTCCTTCCACGATTGCTTCTTGGATCTTTTTTGTAGCTTTTTAAGAGATCTTTGTACTCCTCCCATCAAAACTCATTGTCGGCTGCCTTACACAGCTTGAAGGGCTCACGTACTTCGCGCCTGTGCTGTCGAAGCTCCCGGTTGAACCACAGGGGCTTGGATTTGCGTATAGTACGCACTGTAGGGCATGAAATTTTGTTTGCTTTGCTGAGCGCCGTAGTGATTAACACCACGTTCTTTTCGATTTCAGCGTGCGTGTTGGGTTCTTTTAGCTCAATCTTTCTATAGAGATCCCAGTTTGTATTTATTGGTTTCCTCGGGGTTGTTATTTTGGGATTTGGGGGAAAGCAATATTAAATTCTATGTATTTATGATCACAGAATGATGGTTTATCTAACAACGTCCAATTATCTAGCCGTATCAGTTTATTTGTTAAAAGTGTTATATCTAGAACGTTCTTTGAGGTGGGTCCAACATATGTTGGCTCAATACCTCGGTTTGTTGCCTCTAGACTTATTTGAATAATAAAATTGTGTAGAGACTCACTTCTTTTATTGATGTCCGCGCTCCCCTAAACAGTGTGATGAAAATAAACATTAACATATAACAAATAATTGCTGTCAAAGATCTGCATCACTCTTGAATCGCCCTATATGTATGTATGTATATACAATACAATATAAATGCATAAGGGTCATATATACATATGTACATACATATTATTATTTTATGTAATTTTTTAATGCATTGCGTATTTTCAATCACTTTTCGTTTTGCATGCACACACAGGCTGGCTTCAGTTTTCGCAAATTATGGGCATTCACTGGTCCTGGGTTTCTCATGTCTATAGCCTATCTCGATCCGGGTAACATAGAATCGGATTTACAAAGTGGCGCCGCAGCAAAATATAAAATCTTATGGGTGCTTTTATGGGCTACAGTTTTGGGTTTGCTGATGCAGCGCTTAGCGGCGAGGTAAGTAAACGAAATGAAATAAAAAGTATGTTAATTTTATTACTACTAAAGTGTATAGGATTTATTTGTTTGTATTTTATTAATAAACTTAATTTAATATATTTTTAATACTTTTTTATGCACCGCTACATAGATTGGGTGTTGTGACGGGTCTGCATTTGGCGGAGATGTGCTATCGGCAGTATAGGAAATTTCCCCGTATTATACTATGGATAATGATTGAAATAGCCATTATCGGTTCAGATATGCAGGAAGTGATTGGCACAGCCATAGCCATATATCTGCTGTC